TCTTTTGATTTTTTTATGCCTTAACTATTCCTAATTACGTTTTATGACCTTACTTTACTAATGGACAATTTTATGCCTTACTATTATACGCTTTTATGCCTTACTATACTACGACGTTTTTTATGCCTTACTTATACTATGAACGTTTTTTATGCCTTACTAATACTATGACGTTTTTATCCTTACTTATATGATGACATTTTTATGCTTACTATACAAAATGACGTTTTTTATGCTTACTATACATACGTTTATTTTCCTTATTATTCTTTGATGTTTTATGCCTTACTATAACTATGACGTTTTTATGCCTTACTATTAACTATGACGTTTTATGCTTACTATACAATTACGTTTTTATGCCTTACTATAACCTCGATGATTTTATGCTTATTATAAACTATGACTTTTATGCCTTACTAATATGGACGTTTTATGCCACTATACTTTGACGGATGAATTTTTAATGCTTACTATACTACCGCACGTTTTTTAGCCGTTATACTATGTTTTTATGCCCGTATATACTTACGATTGATTTTAATGCCTTTACTATACTATGACGTTTTTAATGCCTTATTATTCCTTTTGATTTTTTATGCCTTACTATAACTATTACGTTTTATGCTTACTTTTACTATGACATTTTAGCCTTTACTATACTATACGTTTATGCCTTTACTTATAACTACGACGTTTAATGCCTTACTATACCATGACGTTTTTATGCCTTACTATACTATGAACGTTTTTTATTCCTTTATAATACTATGAAAATTTTTTGTTATGGCCTTTACTATACAAATGGTTTTTAAAGCCGTACTATACTACCGATGATTTATGCCTTACTATACTTACGACGTTATATGCCTTACTATCTATAGACGTTTTATGCCCGACTATTACTAAACGAATGATTTATGCCTACCTATACACGGACGTTTTTAATGCCTTAATAACTATGTTTTTATGCCGTATCTATACTACGATGAATTTTATGCCCCTTAACTTACTAGACGTTTTTATGCCTTACTATACATGAAACGTTTTATGCCTTCTATACCTTTCCGTTTTTATGCCTTATTTATTTTTTGATGTTTTATTACCTTACTTTACTATGACATTATTTTATGCCTTACTAATACTATGAAACGTTTTTATGCCTTACTGAACAATGAACCGTTTTATCCTGTACTATTACTACGATGATTTTTGCCTTACTATACTACCGACGTTTTTTAATGCCTTACTATACTATTACGTTTTATGCCTTAATAATTTTTGATGTTTTAATGCCTTACTAATACCTTGACCGGTTTTTAATGCCTTAACTAATAAACTAATTACGTTTTTAAATGCCCTAATTAATTCTTTGATTTTTATGCTACTATAACTATTACGTTTTATTCCTTACTATACTATTACATTTTATTGCCTTACTATACAATGACGTTTTAATGCATACTATACTATGACGTTTTTTAATGCCTTAAACTATAACATGAAAACGTTTTTATGCCTCACTATATCTATTACGTTTTTATGCCTTACTATACTACGATGATTATGCCTTATATACTACGACGTTTTATGCCTTATTACTATGTTTTTATCCGTACAAATACTATCGATGATTTTGCCTTACTATACTAGATGATTTTTTTTTATGCCCTACTATACTACGACATTTTTATTGCTTACTATACTATGACGTTTTAATTTCCTTATTATTCTTTGAATGTTTTTTATTCTTACTATTAACATGAGACGTTTTATGCTTACTATACTATGAGTTTTTTATGCCTTACTATAACTATTACGTTTTATGGCTTACTATCTACGATGAATTTTTAATGCCTTAATTATACCTATGACGTTTTTATGCCTACTATACTATGACGTTTTTATGCCGTCTAATATCTACGATGATTTTATGCTTACTATAAACTACGGTCGACGTTTTTATGCCTATTAACTATGTTTTTTATGCGTTAACTATACTACGATGATTTTTATGGCCTTACTAATACTACGACGTTTTTTATACCTTAACTTTTACTAATGACATTTTTTATCCTTACTATACTATGAACCGTTTTTTATGCTTACTAATACATGGACGTTTTATGCGTTAACTATACTACGATTGATTTTTAATGCCTTACTATAATTTCTCTACGACGTTTTTATTGCCTTACTATACTATTACGTTGTTTATGCCTATAATTTTTTGATGTTTATGCCTTACTATACTAAATGACGTTTTTATGCCCTTACTATACTATACGTTTTATGCTAATTATTCTTTTGGATTTTTTTAATGCCTTACTATACTATCTACGTTTTTATTCCTTTACTATACTATTAAAAAAAAATTTTATGCCTTACTAATACCAATGACGTTTTTAATATGCATACTTACCTAATGAAACCGTTTTTAATGCCGTTCTATACTATGACGTTTTTATGCCTTTACTATACTATTAACGTTTATGCCTTAACTAATACTACTACGAGATTTTTTATGCCTTATTATAACTACGACGTTTATGCCTTAATTAACTATGTTTTTATGCCTACTTTAAAAATACTACATGGATTTAAATGCCTTAACTATACTACGACGTTTTTATGCTTATATACTATTAACGTTTTATGCCTTAATTATTTTTGATTGTTTTTATACCTACTTTACTATTGCATTTTTTAATGCTTACTATACTATGACGTTTCTATCCCTTACTATTATATGAACGTTTTTATGCCCTTACTAATACATGAACGTTTTATGCGTCTATAAACTACGATGGATTTTTATGCCTTACTATAACTACGACGTTTTATGCTTACTTATACTATTAACGTTTTATGCCTTATATGTTTGATGTTTTTTTATGCCCTTACTATACTATGACGTTTTTATGCCTTAACTATACTATTACGTTTTTTATGCCTTAATTAATTCTTTGATTTTTTTTTAATGCCTTACAATAACTAATGACGTTTTATTCCTACATAGCTATACATTTTTATGCCTAACTATACAATGAACGTTTTTTATGCCTAATTAATTTCTTTGATGTTTTTATGCTTACTATAACTATGACGTTTTTTATGCCTTACCTTATAAAACTAATGAGTTTTTAATGCCTTACTTTACTATGAGACATTTTTTTATGCCTTACATTAACTATTACCGTTTTTTATGCTTATTATACTGTGACGTTTTTAATGCCTTACTAATATACTAATTACGTTTTTATGATTACTAAATACTATGACGTTTATGACTTACTATACTATGAAAACCGTTTATGCCTTACTATACTATGACGTTTTTATGCCTTATTATTCTTTATTGTTTTTATGCCTTACTATACTATGACGTTTTTATGCCTTACTATACTATTACGTTTTTATGCCTCATTATTCTTTGATTTTTTTATGCCTTACTATACTATGACGTTTTTATGCCTTACTTTACTATGACATTTTTATGCCTTACTATACTATTACGTTTTTATGCCTTATTATACTGTGACGTTTTTATGCCTTACTATACTATGACGTTTTTATGCCTTATTATTCTTTGACGTTTTTATGCCTTACTATTCTTTGATGTTTTTATACCTTATTATTCTTTGATGTTTTTATGCCTTACTATACTATGAGCAGCAGCAACAGCAGCATGCTATGTTGCTTCACACAGTAACGTTCCTCAACAACCCTGCTTCCACATTAAGTGATCTGCCTCTTATGACAGTGACATATGGTTTTAATTTACTAAATTGTGACAAGATTTGAAAAATGCTTTTAATTTCTGATCACATAGCTACTGTATCCTGCAATTCGCCTTTAAAAATTGGAATAGTCTTGAGCCAAAAGGACATCAGACAAAACTTTCCATTTCCCCAAATACTGTATGAAGTATTCAAGTCGGATCATTTTGGAGTGACCTGTTATGGATATGCTATAATTAGATTCCTGTGCTTAAAAGGCTTGCAGGGTGTTGATCATTGTTATTTCATGAGGCATGCAGTGCTATGAATCTCATCCTTTCAGACTAACCATTTTCTACTAGCATACAAGCAAGGCCCTCAAGATATTCATAAACATCAAAATAATAACTTCCCAGTCCATAAATCATTTGAGGGTTGTTTGTTTTTACCGTATGGTAAAAAGCAAATCATTTGCTATTTTTCATGCAGCATGTTCTAGTTTCCTAAACCACAGATACAGTATTCATGTAGTATATATTTACAGTCATCTCTATATTAATGTTATAATCATATTATCTCTGAGAGAGAAGAGGATTGAGATGGTTGATGTTTATCATCAAGAAGCGGCATGTCTTCCATTAAACAAAAATGGAGTGATGGCGCCCTCTGGCTCTATCATTATAAATTACGTCTTCAACTGATAATAATATGGACTATTATTACCAGCTGATTTTATTATTTCTTTGACTGTGCAAGCATCAGGCAGCAAAGCAAATTAACCAAACCCTTCACATTTAACTGCATCACCAGATATTTTGTGAAAATACTTGTGTTCCATGGAAACACTGTCTCCAGTTAAAAGCTTATGATAATGTGTTCTTTCATTTTCTTTCAGATCCTTTTTCATCACCAGAGGAAGAGGCTAGGGTTCCAGTGAGTATAAGATTCAATTAAAACTTTTATCATTGTCCTCATTCAGCCCAAGAGTGAATTATCATGAGCATGAGTATGATGGTTTTGATTTGGCAGAGCAGCAGAGAAACAGAAGAATAAAACACACTTTAGCTGTGTTTTATTGTGTCACCTGGAAACATCAAGCTTTACTGGTTGGACATTTAGATCAGTGGATATCGAGAGCTCTTCAACCTTCAGACAAAATTTTCCTGGTTCAGTGTGCTGCTTAAAGACACACGTGTTCATAGGCGGAAGCTGATAATAATTCAAAATAAAAGACAGGCAAAAACATGAATGTGTATTCAAACACAAAGACAAGCATCCCCAGAGGTTGTGATTACAGTTTATGAAAAAGAACCAAACACTTGGATAAGATGCAAGTTTAAAAAAAATTATTTATAATATGATACAAGGATATTTTGTGCAAGAGGTTGTTGGGGCTGTGAAACCTGTACATTATGAACAAAGCACTTAAAACTCATTAGCAACCTGAAAGCAGAACATGGCTACTGAGCCATAATTGTGTCAAATGGCTTACTATCAAGATACTAGCTGTTTTTATACAAATGGTTTCCACCAGTATACAATGGCTGTATAGGATTAGATTACATATTTATATAAAGTGCAGAAGAAATAAACACTTACAGTGAAGGCCTGAAGTGCTTTGTGACTGAGTGTAAACCCACCACCACATGCTGAAAGCCTTCTCATCATATGGCCAGGTGGTTGAGCAAAAACAATCTAAAGACTTGGCAGGGCAGTATCACAAACTGTTGGCCATAGATCTGCTACAGAATATATACTGTATTATAAAATGTATGAAAGGGATTGGTAAATCTGTGCAATATATTGGATTTTACAAATATAGTCAATATGAACAGCTGTGAAAAGTTGCCTAAAATTCCCCTTTTTACAATTATAAATAGACACTTGTTGTTTACTGCTCCTTCTACACTGAAGCATAGCACCAAAGGCTCTCATTTGTCTCAACCTTGAGTATGAAATGACCTGAAATAAATGAGGATTCTATCTTATTTCAGGGGAATAATACATTAAAGATATAAGAAAATATATGCACTGTTAGTGACTAGATTACATGTTTTGTTTATAGTTCATAATTCTGGTTTGTCTCTATAATGTTTCAAGGTTACAAAAAAGAAGTGAATTCAGCATCACAGTTGAGTCTCAAAAAGACAGGAGAGCAAAGAGGCATCAAGCGGTCCATCAGACTCTGTCCGGCACCTCTCAACTCCAAAACACCAGCAGCTGGGGATTCTGGGGGATTATCTAGGTCTGCTGGGAACCCTGTTAAAAGACGACATGAACAGTAAGTATACAGCAGGAAGGACACGTGAATGAAAGTTAACATACAGTAATTTAACATTATCATTGTACAATCTGGATGACTACATGTTATAGTTCTGTGACTTTGGTCCTTACTGAGTTGGTTCTTTTACGTTTCCAGCAGTCTGGATTGAGTCTTTTCTGCTCCTCAGCCAGAGCTTTGGCCTCCATGGTGTACATCCTTCGCTCCTCACTCTTCATCTTCTTCCACTTATCACCCAGGATGACACTAATGGCTCTGGAGTGAAAGGTTAGAGACAGAAGATGAAAGACTCACCTTTTTCTGATTTTTGTCTTAATGGAATCTGTCTTACTTTCTTTTCCTCTACCATTTTCGATTTCCTTTTTGTCCAGGGAATATGGATAAAGCATACATATAAATGTTTTACAAGATGTGAACCTATAGCTATCTACAATGAAAACATTTCATTACATCTTACGCCTCGGTTCCTAAATGAAGAATTAACTTACAAAAACAACATATAGAACATAATGGTACACAAAAATGAAATTGCACAGACTGCAGTGCCTGGTGATACTCCTACCCCAACATGAAAGACAAGTAAAACAATAAAAAATGATCTATTCTCAGTGGATGTAGTGAGGCAGGTCTTCTGTCTCATATGCTGGGAGATGACTGGCATAATGAATTGGTCCAGCACTGGTTCGGAGATAAGTGGAGTCTTAAATGGTACTTCATAAAGGAGCTAAGACCATTAGTCTTTCAGTTTAGCCACCAATCATTCACAGTTGATCCAGGTATCAGAAGATCACTTCCCTAATCTATACACTACTAAAAAATTGAAAGCATGACCCAAAGAGTCCCCATGTAGAATTTGTTTGTATTCTTCAAGTCAGTGCAGGGCCTCTAATCTGTAGCTCGCTGCTTGACATCTGTAGCCCAAAACACTCATTAACTTTCAACGCAGAGAGGACCTCTCTTACAGTCTGTACTGACAGTTTTAACATTGCTCTCATACTCTGTTTTTAGTTTGTGATTGCACTCTTCAATGTTTGTTTATTAGCCACATTGGAACCATGATATGACATCCTGTAGATGAAATAAGTATAGTATCATCATGTTTCTGTTCAATGAAATGTCACCGCACTGTGCCCCGAAAAAGGTCATGATTCACATGCTGCAGTTTGTAGTCGATTGATGTGATAGTGTGCTAAAAATGGTGACGAAACAAGCTAGAATAATAACTTTACCATTTACAAACACTGAGCAGCAGTATATCTATTGGCCGAATGAGCACATCAAGTCATTCAGAGTTGAACAAAGGTGAAATTTAACCTGTGAATCTGCCGGAGCTGGCTGGAGATTGCAGTGAAACACATACTTAAATTTATCCACACTCAGGTTTCAATAGTGGTGGATGGGAGACAGAGAAAATATTTGTATACTGGAATATGATGTGACTATGACCTTAACTGTGGGGCGGTTTCATTCAATGGACGTCTAATGTTAGTGATCAATGTTAAGACATGACACAGTGAAAGAAACATTAGACAATTCTGCCTTACAAAAAAAGGCTGCCATTTACATGGTAGTGTGAATAAGTGCACCAGATCTTATTGACTTTTTGCATACCTGTTGTCCTTCCCAGGATACATCTGTGTGTACTCCACTCTGTACTTCTTGGCAAAGAGCATGAAGGCATTCATTGGCCGCTTGCATTTTGTAGGCGTGGCACTGCTGGTTGTCCCTGAGGTGTGGCTCCTGTTTGATTTGCTACTTGAGGATTGTGGGGAGCTGGAGCGCTCAAGTTTATCACAGTCTGGACTGACGGCACCGCCGCTGGACAGGGAGGTCCTGCGCTGACGAGCCATGCTGCTGAGAACATACACTGCTGAGGAATCTAGGGGGGTGAAGTCATAACTGCAGGGAGGAAGGAAAGAAAACAAAGACATTTTGACTCTGCAAAAGTATCTAAAAATGTCACCTTGTCATTTTACAGTTCCTCTGCACTGCAACATATACTTTTTAGTTTTCATTTGCTGTAAAGAACTGAACATTGTAAATGATTGTAGATATGCTATATAAGGAATAAATCATATTTATAAACTAATGATTGTGTTTATGATTCATATTTCTATCTTCTATTTTTTGTTTACTTGAAGTTATATAAAGGAAAGATTTCACTTTCCTTGTGCAGTGTTTTATACTTTGATGTTAAGGGTGATTGGACGGCTTTAGTGAACTGTACAAGAAAGCTATAAGCTAAGGACTGACTTTCTTTTTAACTGTATAACTTAATCTTCTGTAAAGTGTCCTTGAGTGCTGTGAAAGGCGCTGCCAAATAAAATGTATTATTATTATTATTATTATTATTATTATTATTATTATTATTATTATTAAGATGTGGGTTATAGAACTGTCTTTGAGGTGTGTGTGTGTGTGTGTGTGTGTGTGTGTGTGTGTGTTAGACAGTGATCATCATAAGCAAAACAGGTAGATTAGAAAACACTCTGCACCTCTGATGATGACTCACACTCAGGTCTCTTACTTCAATAAACTAAGAACACATTATTTAGAAGAGTGTACCTTCTGAAAGTGTCAAAGACGACTGAGTCATCACAGTTAATGGCATCTGGGTGGTTTGGTGGCAGGCACACATCCCCAAGCTGCATCTCGTAGCAAGGGATCCCATGGTGCACCACAGTAAGGCTTGGATAAAAGGAAGACCACCCTGAAGAGGACAAATGGTAAATTACAGATAAGCATAACCTGTTGTCCTTTTGCAGTATATCAGCAGTATATTTTTATATACTACAGAAGCAGGAAATAAAGCTGTTAATTTACCTTTATTTTTTACAAAAAATGGGTGATCTAGTCGGCATTCAGCTGTTAAAAGACCGTCATCAGGTGAACCAGGGTCAAACGTCAGTTTAAGAACTGCCTGGCCAAAAGATACTGTCTCTTCATGGCTCACCAACTTCAGCCCCTCTGAACCGTATCTCTGAAAATAAAGCAAAGAGAAGTCTTTACTCACCTGCAAGTTGAGCTAAATGAACCAAACACTAAAGTTGAAGGAACTAATATTTGGTGCCTGAAAAGTTGAAAAGGTTCCCATTCTGAACAAGTACATCAACACTAAAAAATCTGCAAGAATGTTTTTAAATTCATGCACTCATTTACTCACTTACTGTACTTTCACTGTTAGCCTGCCACCTTGTGGCCATTCCAAGCCACTGACAACCAAAGACAACCGGAATGTGTCACTCATACAGTCAACAATGCAACAATACTAAACATAAGGTAGATGGAAGGTTTTCCATAGTATAGCAAACTGTTATTAAATATTTTAAGACATACTGAAGTCACTATCAATTGCCTAACCTTAAGAGAGGAGGAGGATGGCATCATGGTTTCATCATCCGAGTCATCATCTGAATCCCGGAGTTCATCTGCTTCCTGCCACTCTACATTAGGACCTCGATGGAAGCGCAGGCGAGTTCCTGAATATCAACGCAACAATGCAACATGATGAAAAAAAGCAGATGTCCAATGATATTGATAAGAGAATGCAGGAAAGTGGGTGCAATGCTGCTGTTTGGACACAAGAGGTCAGGATTTCTTTAAAAATGTCTGAGTCTTGCTCATCCTGGCTCAGAAAATTGTGAAGGGAGGATCCTTTCAGAAAAGTGTAAACAAGAGATTAGTGTCAGCACCTCTACAGCTCCTGTCCAGAACAGCCTTGATTGCATGTCTGGTTGTCATCAGCAGAGTTTAAGGCCAGAGCAGTTAAAGTCCAATCAGTAGTTGTTTTTTTTTAATCATTACAGGTATACTTTTTCTCACAATCACAATTGAAGACTTGGAGATAAAAAATAAAAGTGTTTTTCTCCTGATCATATTTGGGGTAAAAACTGGTGTATTTTACATTTGTTTTTAAACCTTACTGATGTAAACATTAACGAATTTTTGAAAACATTCATGAATTACTACTGTTTTCTAATGGGGAGTACATGTTTACACTAGACTGTGAATTGTGCCTTTAAGCTATGAGGCATACTTGTCAAGACCTTTTTTTTCTCTCAGAAATTCTTAGAAAAGTTAAGAGTTAACTTCAACGTGTGTGAAAAAGGTGAGGTGAGGTGTAAATGCGTGCATGTGCACTGGTGGATGCATATGCTGCGTGTGTATTTATGCACCTTTAAGGAAGCAATGCCAGGCTGTGGAGGGCCAGGAGTGGGACCAGGCCATGTCTTCATCATCAGAAAAGGATGAGGACATTGAGAAAACTCCAGACTCCGACTCACTGCTGGCCTGTCGCAGATAATAAAAAACATCTTACAATGACATCAGTAAAATAAACAATTTCAGCTTGCATGTCATACAGAATTTACTTGGAAATAATCACTGATTCTACAGGAATGGATGATTCTTGGGTTTTCAGAGGCTGGAAGTGAAAAGTTACCCTGACACGCCTGCGCTCCCTAAGGTGGCCTCTGGACGGGTTGGGTGCACTACTGGCTAATGGGGGCCGGGCGTAGGAATGTAAACTATTACTGTTGCCAAAAATGTGGACTGGAGATGATCTGAAAAAAATGACAATGATATCAATACACATTATTATTTAGTTGGATAGTTAGTTCATTAGTTATTGTATCATGCGCATACAAGTGCCCACCCCACATGGACTTACAAGACACCAAGAAAATACTGTTGCAGTGCTGATACATTTGTCAGAGATGAGCATAATTTCTTACATTACATGACAAACAAAGAACTTGATTATAAGTGAACATATAGCTGATACTCTATATTTTTAATGTAGCAGCTGAATGCAATCCTGTATAAAAGTTTAGTTAGCCAGGTTCACTGTAAAATGTATTTTGTGACATCTTGGTTATAATGATATAAACATAATGAGCCAGTCAAAAATTTCCAGGGTTGTTTGATGTCACACTTTCTTAGTTATGTTGCTAATCCTACTTTGTGGAATACCCCCCAGGTATACTAGCATGTACTTATGTTATTACGTGCACTGTCAACTTCTAACTTCTCTTTGTGTTTATGTCACATGTATGCAATCATTAGATTTAGCTAATTTTCATGCTATTAAATATTTACTAACCTCTTATGTGGGGCATCCTTAAGCAAAGGGCTTTGAGGACTGGTGGCAATGTTGGCCAGCTCAGCAAGCCAGTTGGTGCTGGGGGAGCAGCTGAGCTCCTGGTGAGACACTCCTGCTCCAACCTGAAATAACCCTGGAGACCTCTGGTCCTCCTCCACCTCCTGCAGCTCTGGCATGTCATCTAAAGAGGGGTCAACATTAATATTCACAAAAAACAGCTCAGTCTGCTTAAATATAGAATGTGATTTCTTGCTGGTGTAGCATTTTACCATAATCCATGTGGCACCCAGGTGAGGAAGGCAGGTCTTCGTTACACTTGAGTGGATCAAAGGACTCGTCCATTCCCAAAATGTTCTGCTGTTTCCCCTCTTTGTTTGTTTGTTTGATTGTTTTTGAAACTGGGTACAGGTCAGTTTACTCAGCTTCCATCATCATCCTCTGCCACGTGAGCTGGTTTTTGGCAAAACCAAAAGGCAAAATTAGAGCTTTCACGAACAAAGTGAAAATGCAGCACAGTTTTACAAGACTGTTTCAATTACTCTTATACAACACCCACCCACAAGTAATGAAAATGGAGTCATTGTAATTGCATACATAAGATTGAATGGTAGTATGTGGATTTTGGACAGTAATATTATGGTTTCATTTAGGCATTATGAAAGGATCCATGCAATAAAAAGCATTAACATAATAGACACTAGCTTTCAAATATTTCTGAAAACAGCAAATAAAATAATATTCCATACTGCATCTCATCAATACAAGAAACATAATGTATTGCATGAATATAATGGAAAAGGTAGGCAGCCTTTAGGGAATCCTTTGTCTCTGAATCGACACAGTAAACCTCTGTAACTGGTCATGTGATCCGCTGCGTGGAGGCCTTGTTTATAAACTTAAAAGGATTTGGCGCATGCGCACCAGAGCTCATTCATTCATAACTGCGTAGCAAAAGTGATAAATATCAGAAATTCGTCTTTAAAGTGTAGTGTCGAGGCTCGAAAACACGAAGTTGAAAATAAATGTGAAGGAATATTAATGACAGAGTAAACATGTTACGCCTATTAGAAAATTATTTGGTGTTTGAGGACATGCAACGTAAAAAAAAAAAGGTTAAACATTTAAAAGAACCTCTGAGTATCAAATACATTACTTAAAAAGGAAGAACTAACGGTCATTTTGCGTTCTGACAACCGATCAACGGTCGCTGCACGGTCGGACTAACCGTCGCTTCGACTTCTTAAACACGGATGTAGCAGTAACATGCCGTTAATAAAACGTTTTCTTAAGTAATATCGTGTCCAAAAAGAGCGTCTGAAACCCAGGCCTGCTGTTTTCCCACTCCTCAAAAGCAGCACCAGTGTCCTCAGCTCAAACCCAGAGGCTGTCGGGTCTAACACTGTAAACAAAAGAATGTCAACAAGTTGAGGCATGACGCAACCTCTCTGCCCCGTTTAAAATGAATGACACAAAACCCTCCAGAAGCCTTTTAACAACATTTCCACGCAAATCAGAGCACATTTTACCGACTGCATGAGTTATTTTTGTATACAAAACTGCTGTCGGGAGGGTTTGTTAACACCAAAACAACAAGCGTCACAGCGAAAAAAAACATTGTCGAGCACAACCTGTGATTCGACATCAAATAAGCGTGTGACAACCCTACTAAAATAACGCCTAAGAATTGCAAAGACACGGATCACATAACGCACAAGTTAAAAATTATTTCGAACCTTTTATTTCTTCGAAAAAAGTGGACAACTTCCCACTTACCAGACCTGTCGCCATCAAGAAACTCTCTGGCATTCACTCGAAGGGTGGGAATGAATGGTTTCAGAGGACGCCTCCTATTGGTGAATACGAACGCCAATAACAAAAATCCGGGTATTCTATTGGTCGATACTGTTGAGAAAAATATAGAAGGTGGGGTGAAGTTTGTTGATCATCGTATCATTGGATGAAAGTACATGCCTGTTACTACCCAGTAACAGCTGATTGGCAATAACAGGAACAATGCATGGTTATTTTTTATCTGCAATGTTGCAAGTACAGCAAAATGTACTTGCACACATTGCATTCTAGATTTTGTTTACACTTGTAAATAAATCGCTTTAACTTTGTACTACAAGATCAAGTGAATGGTTGTATGCATATAGAATGAATTAATGATAAATGACTGAATTGTGAATGAAAAGGTTTGATCTTGTACTATTTCTTTATTGTAACAAACATGTATGTGACACGAAAAATAGAAAAAAAATGTTCTTTATTGACATGAAAAGTGAAACATACAGTACTTTCAGCCAGTATTATGGGTTTGCCCTCAGAAATGACCAGTACTACCTGCACAAAGGGGGGAAATAAATTCAGAATGTTTAAATTTTAAACCAGCTTTAAACAGTTTAAGCTGCAGTAAACCACTGACAAAATACAGAAGACTTCAATTATTGATTTTAAAAAGAGAGAGGAAGAAGAGAGAGAGAGAGAGAGACAGAGAGAGAGAGAGAGGACCCACATTAAATTCCTGTTGAGATGGGACATCAGAATATGTGTTTCCAAACAGTATAAGTTGTTGGCAGAGGTAGACAGCAATAATGGATGTCATAATCATAATATATGTTTCACCGACACAAAAACAGTATGACTTAAATTTGACATTAAAACACAGGAAAATCATTTGTGTCAAGACATTGCCTATAATGACTACAATCTAGTGGGGCGACTTATTAAATTAAAGGTGGGCCTATATAATAACAGTAAATACTCATTTTCAAATTGTACAGCAATGTGTTGTATGTGTTGTATATTCTTACAAAACTATTTTTATTTTTTATTTTTATTTTTTGAAAAAGCATAATATTAGGCTAACAGCCACACACACTTACCAACAATGATATACAGTTTATGAACACGTATTCAAGGGATTAAATCTTATGATAAACAAAAATGCATTTTGCAAAAATGTTAAAGTACTGCCAAGTCTACATTCTGTTGTGATCAAAATGTGAAAGATGTTATTCAAACACAGAATCAAATCAACTTCCTTTACAATTTGTTTATCTTTTCTCATGTCGGGGCGCTCTTGTACCAGTGCGCCTCATGCTGCTAGTGTTAGTGCTCTTGCCAAAAAAATGACAAGAGAATGTGACATTTTTTCTCACAATTTTCCAGTAAGAAATTAGCTTTGGCATCTGGTTTTAACAAACAATGTTTAGAAATTTACAAACAATATTATACTGTAGGTATAACTAGAACACTGTGGAGATAAGGTGAGAATTAACAAAAGTGTTCAGTATACAGACAAATAATGCATCTGACACTGGCAAGTAAAATGTACACTTACATCTTTAAGGTGAAAGTCGTGATAAATCTAATTTAATTAAGCTTTAAGCAATTCTGCTTTGGCTTACTTTAGTCATAACACTCTTTGCTAGAATGAACTTTATCTCATATGGGAATCTGTACTCTGGTTTATTTATCTGATACACAAATATTGTAGTGGGTATTCACATTTCTTGTAAGAAAAGCCTTTTAAGTAGTTATGGGGGAAAACATCCATATAAGCCTTTTATTTTTCATCCACCTATTTATGGTCCATTGGAGCCGTCTCATGCAGTTTGCTGCTCAATCTCAGGGCTACTTCCAAACAGGGTGACCAGCTGCTCCTCATAGTTTGCAATGTTTCTCTTCATGATGTCCATGCACGGGCCCAGCAATCTCTCGAAGGCTTGAACATCCATCACTGAAAAACAAAACAAAAACCAAAAAGAAAAGAAGGAGAGTGAGTAGCGTAAAGTAACAAGTGGTATACTGGAAGATTTACAGGTTGGACTCAATATATGAATGATTACAAAATTGCACAAAATGTACCCAGGCATTTGACACTCCCCACAGCATATGCCGAAGCAGCTCTAGGCTTGTTTGTGACAAGCGCCAACTCCCCAAAATACTGGCCCCTAGAGCATGTGGCAATATCCACCTCCTCTTCCTCTTGGTCTTTTTTCGTCTGGTAAGAAAAAAAAATCACACAATAACATACCAGAAAACACCACAGATTTTTTTTTTTTTTTAGTCAGAAGGTTTTTCACTCTTAGAAATTAAAAGGGAGACAGGTCAAACATACCCTGCTTCTTTTCATGGTGATTCTAACTTGGCCAGACTCAACAATGTAGAAGCAATCTGCTAAATCACCCTGTAACACAAAGCATTAAAGCAATAGTAAAAAAAAAAAGTAGGTGACCCTGTTTACATAAATGCTCTCCTGAAACAGAAAGTGAGAAGACCGATCCACGAATAGAACATACAAAGAGACTCATCACCTGAGCAATAATCTGCTGTGAATCATTGTACACCCTGGTGGACAGCACATCTACAACCTTCATTCTCTCGGAGAGCTGTGGATGAAAAGATGGTTGACAATGTTTTTGCTGTAGATAAATACTGCAGTTTTTTAAGGCAGGAGGAAAAAGCCTAATCTCCAAACCTCTAATGATGTAAGCAGTGGTAGCGTTTCAATGAATGCCTCATACAGCTTCCTCTTCTTGGCATTGTTCTTCACTATGATCCTCCTGAATGTCAGACGATCCTGAAACAGAGATTTAAAGAAAAGGAAAAAAGTCAGGTTTGTGTTTAAAGGCCCAGTGAAAAGGAAAATACATTTTTACACATGTTTTATTCTATTTTTGATGACTCGTCTTGAGCCATACATTACAGAAGAAAAATGATAATTAAAATATGCATGGCAAAAGTGACTGTTTTCCCTGCACAATCTAGCATTCAGGATGAGTGGACAGTGACACTCATTTACATTTTCCCTACAGTTCCAGGCTCTTCTGGGCACCTTTCACCAACCAATAACTGACATGAAACACCATTTTGCAGTAGGGGTCGCTGTAAACCAGATTTTAAGTAAGCAGAGCATCTCCTGTGAACCATAACACCACTCAGGATATTTCAACCATGTGTCATCCTGCTTCTTTCAGTGATAAACCTTTATAATTCACAAGGTTGTAAGTAATTTCAGCAGGATTATATGCAGTTTTGACACATATAATGGCCAGCAACATGGTAGATGATTACATGCTGTACTGCTTAGGGCGCCCTCTAGCAGGCAAAACAAAAACATTCCCACCCAAAGATGCCAACATGGCCAGTAAAGTCAGTCCTTGGCCATGGAACTCAGAGTACTGTAGATTTAATATACTATCAGGCTACCACTGAATTACAGTTCACTTTAATCCCAGGCATAAATCAGACTCTAATCACAGCTGTTACAATAGTCTACTGTTTGCAGAGAAGCCCCTCAGCAGTGCTATCCCTCCTCGACCTTAAGGGGATTGTTAGCTGAACAGAGCTGGCTGCTTGTTCACAGACTCAAACACACAGTACAAGTGCCCAGGTCAACGGGGGATACAGCTGCAACCTGCCCAGTCTGCGCAGCGATGACGTAACAAAGCTGTTACCCACAGTTTAAGGACACGACCCTCACTGAGTCATTAATAAAGAAGCTGCTTCACAGAAAGAGATCAAGTAGCAACTGAATATTCAAGACAGCTGTTCTGGACACGATTCATGAAATAGCTGGATGTTGTTTAGGAAAAATACCAATAAATTGAAACTCAAAAAATCATAATTATGCTCTATGATGGTGCTGGCGGCCCCACTTTTCATATTTGGATCATTTATAACCTCTTAACTCAGCTGCCTGAGTTCATCTGAAGTGCATACTTGATAAAAGAGACAAGTTTAGCCCTGTTTATCTGTACTGATCTGATGGCAGAACTTTCTGAATGGGCTTCAAAATGTTTTTTGTAAGACACCTATATTAACATTCATGAATATAGTTTTTTCATATTCAGTTTGTACGTTCATTATATGCTTCAATATATGAATTAAGAAGATGTATAATCATTTCCAGCTGCATGATTAGTGCTCTCTCACTTGTAGTTGCATTCGCTTTTAGTATGTTGTGTCAGTCACACGATGTGATCTCCCTCATGACACCAGGTACCAACACTGTCACAGACAACCTGGATGTTTAAATCCCGACAACTGACAGAACCGCCTGTTACAAAAACCTGAGCACAGGGCCAACCGTGCTCTTGCATGATGATTTCGTGGTGTACTCACTAGGCACCAAAGGGCTCCAGGCGAGATGGCGATTATTGTGGCTGCCCTGGGGGTGTTGTACATCAACGCTAGCTCTCCAAAGCTGCCTCTGTTGTCATAGCAGCCTACCAGCTTCTCTGTGCCATCAACCTTCACGAAAATGTTAAACGTCCCACTGAATGAAAAAACAAAGGAAAAAAGAAAATCGCAAATCAGAGAAAATATAAACACGTCAGCCATATTGGTGTCT